CGCGCCGGCCACGGCGGCCATTGGAGGGTGAACCAACAGCAAAGGAAGACCTTTCTCTCTGTCTCTCACTGTCCACTCTGCCTGTCAAAAATAAATAAATAAATAAACTGGCGAAAAAGGAGGGCAGGTAGCGGCAAGAGAACCCATTTTCTGCTCTTGGGCAGGAGGGGCTCCGCATGTCAGACCCAGCCCTGAGCCCGGCCAGGAAGGCCCGTGATCTGCTCCATCTGCCAAGCTGCAGGCCACGAAGCTCGGGATTCTCCCCGCACTCCCACGGGTGGGGTGAGGAGCAAGCACCTGGAGACAATGTAATACCGAATACATGGCTCACCTGCCCTGTCACCCAGCAGGAACACAAACAATAATACAGTTGGGGTTTCTTTATGTTTTTCTAAAGATTTATTTTTTATGTATTTGAAAGGCAGAATTACAGAGAGAGGGAGATAAAGAGAGACAGAGAGAGAGGTCTCCCACCTGCTTGTTCTTTCCCCAAATACCACAACAGCTGCAGCTGGGCCAAGCCGAAGCCAGGAACTTCCTTGAAGTCTCCCAGGCCAGTGCAGGGGCCCAAGCACTTGGGCCATCCTCTACTGCTTCCCAGGCCACAGCAGGGAGCTAGATGGGAAGCCAGTACTCCAACCAGAGCCCATATGGTATCCAAGAGTCTCAGGAGGTGGCTTTACCTGCTACGCCACAACACCGGCCCCAGGCATCTGTCACCAGCAAAGCCCCTTGTCCTCCTTTCAGAATTTAAGCAAATCCAGTAGCGACTTCAGATAAAAATACTGAAGCGTCTACAATGAGAAACACGCAAGTGGATTTCTAAGCTCTCGCCCGACTCGGGAGGGCTTGGCAGCCGTGGGGAGTCTCGGAGCGCGGGGCAGCTCTGTGCTGAGGGGACATGGCTGCGAATATTGCAACCTGATAACTCTCACCCAGAAAACCCACCACGCAGTCCAGGGCCGCGTCTCCACCCCCGTCCCGGGGTTCTAACTCGAGTTGACTCTACTTCAAAGGAAGGAAAGCTTGTTTGGCCAAATAGCCAGGGAGCATTGGTTTCAGGAATGTGACATGCTGTTAAACCACAGCCGTGTACGCTTGTGGCTGCTGCGATTTTCCCAGGATGAAAGTTTCACTTTCAAAGGAAAACATGGCACCATGTAAGCTGGAGAAACACGAGGTTCATGGTGTCCGGTGGCCCCAAGGACCTTTCCGTCCCAAAGCGCACCTACTGTGTGTCAGTATGTCCCCGGGGGGAGGCCGGGGAGAACGAGCGCCATGGATGGGACTGGAACAACGAGCGAGGTATGTTTCCTGAGTTTGAGTGTCTTTCCAGGAAGTGGAGAACAAGGACAGTTGGGAGGGGCCTAGACCGTCAACAGCGCAGGGCCTTGTGGGAGGCTGGGGGACCCTAGAGAAGGGGCAGGCGCGCGGCTCTCCCAGGACCTTAGGGAGCTGCGAGAGCAGGCGCAGGAGCTGGACGTGGAAGCACAGGCCACGCTGCAGGAGAGAGGCACTGGACTCGGGGCCCTCGGGGCCTCCAGCGGTCACCTGTCGGGTCCCTGGGCTCCCACCGCCCCCTCTGGCTCCGAGTGCTCGCCATGGAGGCAGAATGCCGCCCGAACAGGTGGGCGGCCGTCCTAGCTCCTTCCGTTGCAGTCAGGCTCCGTTTCCAAGTCTAGTTGGTACTTAAGAAACTGAATTAATTCAGAAGCAAATTTCATGGAATCCCAGCGTTTAACTCCGTCAAGGAACTAGGACATAATTTATCCCAACCTCACCTTCCATGTCGTGATCCCTATGGCAGCCTGGTTATCCGGCTTTGTATTTGTGTGCCCCCACAGACAGGGAGCTCACTCTCTCACAAGAGAGCCTGTTTCACCCCTCAAAGAGCTCTAGCTACTTCAAAATGTTCCCTGCCCAGGGCACTAGCTCCTCCCTCCTTCTGTCGCAGCTCCTGAGCACAGGCTGTCTGAACCCGCATGTCCCACAAGGCCCTTGAACTCCCTGCAGGTGCGGCCGTAGCCATTCCACACGGCTGCGCTCCCCAGCGCTCGGGTGGGCGGGCCCACGGGCCAGGTGAAGCTGATGCGCACGTTGACCCAGGCCCTTCAACAACCTGCTGCCTGCTCCCTGGACACTGCGACTGGTGTTCCCAGTGGAGTGAGAGAAGCCCAGGCCAGATCAGGGACAGCGTGTGGGACGCCTCGGCCAGCTGGCCTCCGAGACCACAGAGGGACAGTGGCTGCTGCAGGAACTGAAAGATGATGACCCCTTCCAGAGGGCCAGGCTGCCTTGACCAGCCTGATGCTGAGCACCTGCGACACACTGGCTGGTCTGCAGCCTCTCACTGTCTGCGCTCGACGCAGGCCCTGTGCCAGGGTCTGTGGATGTTGGGTTTCATGGACACTGGTGGCAAAACCACTGGGTCCTGAGCTTGGCATAGAAGGGAGAAGCCCGCCCCCTTGTGGTCCTCTGGGGGGTGGCACGGTGTGAAAAACAAACCGCAGCAAGAGATGAAGTCTGGGGCCCCAGGGACTGGGACACACACACACACACACACACAGCCACTTCCTCTCAGGGCCACTACTTCACCAGTCCTGTCTGGCGGCCTGGGAGAGAACTGCTGTGCACTGTCGCAGGGTAGAGGAGTGGTGGTAGGGGACATGAAGGGAACTTGGGAAGTGGAGACCCCTGAGTCTATTTGGTGACAGCAAGTTGGGCAGGTTTTCTTAGCTACTGGAAAAAATTTTTTAAAAAAGCGGGGGGGGGGGGGGGGAGGAGTTGTGGAGCAGCCTGCATCCCATATCAGAATGCCCAGGATCAAGTCCCACCTCTGCCTCTGCTTCTGATCCAGCTTCCTGCTGATGCACTCGGGAGGCAACAGATGATGGCTCAAGTACCAAGTCTCTGCCAGCCAAGCAGGAGGAGGTCCAGAAGGACTGCCTGCCTCTGGCTTCGGCCTGGCCCAGCAGAGGGAAGAGATCTCTCGCTCTTGCTCTCCCTTTCAAATAAATAAACATCAATAAAAAGTAACGGAAACCAATACCCGACACCAGGAGGTCTGCCCTGGCCCTGCCCCTGGCCCTGTCTGTGTGGCCCCAAGCAGATCACAGTCCCTCTGAATGCTAAAGCCCTGGACTTTCACATCCCTGCCCTGCCCACAGCTTGTCCCTAGCAACACCACATCCCTGATTAAAGAGGAGAGGGCGCAGGAGGCGACAGGAGCAAAAGATGTCATCAGAGGAGAGGCACAGGGCAGCAGTTTGGCCAACTGTGCAGGCCAGGCCAGGGCCGTGGAGGACACAGCACCCCTCTGTCACTGCATCAGGGCCCTGGGAGCCACAGGATTTCCACAGGGGGTCTCCCCTCCTGCCCTAGTGCTGGTCACGTCTACATCATTGCTTCCCTGGGTGGACACCGGCCCAGAGGTGCAGGTGCCATCAAACATGGCTGTGACCTAGGCCTCCTGTCTGTGCTGTACAGCAGCCCACAGGCACCCCCCATCCCCCCACTCACGCACTTCTGCCTGCCCGCCCTCAGCACTAAGTGCGTTATCAGTGACTGAGTTTTTGACGTATTTTTGAGGTAAATCCTGTACTACTCTGTAACCGATGAGTGCAATTGAGCTAAATGCAGCCCTGGGAAATGCAAACCAGAGAGCTTGCAAAGCTCTCAGATTTAAAAAAAAAAAAAAGATGGATTTTTAAAAAATTGAATTACACATTATAATGGCTCAAATTTCTTACTTCACTATGCTCCCAGGGACACACGGCCATGAAGTCACCAAAGAGGTTTTTCAAAGGTGAGCTGTCCTCCAGCACGCTGGAAAGATTTAGAGGAGGGATCATCTTTGCATGCTATAGAACTCTAAAGCGTCGGCTGGAGCTATATAAGCTGGTGTCATTAAAAAAAAAAAAAGTAAACTGGCCTTATAAGGTCATTGGAAGCTTTAAAAGTTATTATGTAAACATTAGTTAAAAACCAGAGGACTCCAGCAACTAGTATGACCCACGTTCTGCTATGAACTGAAGTCCACTGGAATACGTGAGTCGGATTGGAGACAGAACTCGGTGCAAACACCTTTTCAGACCACCCGGTTTGCACAACATTGCCAAATTCGAAAATTGTAATGAAAATTTTAAAGTCCAAAACCTACAAGCCATCAGAGGCTCACGCGCAGATTGTGCCATTGCAGAACTGCAAATGTGCTTGCGTAAGCACGCCACCGAGGCAAACCTTTCTGGATGGAGAGTCTGGCCTTCAGTTCAGAACGTGGCCACGCCAGGGTCAGAAATGTGACAAAACTGCGCTTTCCCGGGGGTTAGCCAAGGTTCACAGGGTCATGACTGGGCCATTTTATCAGTCATGTCAGGCTCACACCCTATTGCCTGGGACAGATAAAAACTTTATCTGTCAGTTGGCTAAATCTGCTCCTCCTGCTTCGTTTTGAATAAAGAAAACCTGGCGCGGCTTATCTAAGGGAGAAGCTGGCTTTCCCAACAGCATTTTCATGTGCAACTTCCACGGGAGGTGGCGTGCCAGTCGGTTATGAACCGTCCAGAACCCCAGCGACTGCTTTTGCCTTATCTAAAACCTTCTCGGAGAACACTTTTCTAGCACTTTCCAACCACAGGGATGTATTCTGTTTATTAAACACCGATGGGAGGTGTTAGAGTAGAATGATATTTCTCTAAGGGTCACCTTTTCCGAATCACCTTCCCCGATGGAAAGCAAATGGGGAGGGGGGCACTCACTAAAACGAACTTTGATAGATTTTCCAAATAGGAAATCCAATGACCATTGTAGAATTCACAAGATGCTTTTTGACTAATGCTACAAGAGGCTTCTGAGGGCATAATATTTCTTCTTTACAGAAAACAGATACGCAGAGATGGCAAATGTACCCAAGCAGACATTTAGAAATCTGATCAGATCCACTAAGTAAAAATATCAGAAGAGTGATTTTCCCCCAACAGAAATTTGAACTATGAGGAAGGTACCTTCTAATTTTACTTTATTTGGAAATTATACAAATTCATTATTTTAATATTTTAAAGACCATGGTACTGTGGTAGAGACACATAAATATTATAATATACATTTAGAAATTAAATATAATAAAGTCCACCCGACACTATATAAAAACTCATGTACACTTGGCATCAGTCCGGGGTTTGAGGATTCCTGCCCGCTAGGGTCCTCCCTGGAAGTGAGTGAACCTGGCAGGGAGATTGTCCACAGGGTACACGGTGGGGCTGGTTTTCATCGTAGGAGGTCCATTTAGGAGCTGCCAGTCACAGTGCCTGGCCAGCTCCACTGTAAATATTTTCAGAAGGATTTTTGCAAACTCCTTGCCCACACAGCTCCTAAGGCCTCCTCCAAAAGGAATGAAGCTGAACCTGGACGCATCCTCGGGGTGCGGCCGCAGGAATCGGTCGGGGTTGAACTCCTCCTTGTTGGTGAAGACCTCGGCCACATCGTGAGTATCGCAGATACTGTAGATAACATTCCAGCCCTTGGGAATCTGGTATCCCTGCGAGAGATTATGAAGTCCCAAGGGCTGACAAACTGGAATTTAACTTGCAACAGCGAGAAGCGATCAGTGATATGGCCAGGGGAGTCAGGAGGTAAGAGAGAGGGAGATAAAGGGGGAAAGAGGGAGATGGATTCAGGTGGGTGAAATGGGTGTCCGCAGGGGGCAGGGCAATGTTATCAAAAGCATAAGGAATTCCAGCCAGTGTACAGGGAAGCAGAGGCAGGTTTTTAAGCCTCAGCAGGAGAGGGGGAGGGGCAGGGAGTGAATCCTTAACTTACATTGAGTTCAAAGGTCTTCAGAGCCACCCGGAACCCTCCCGGAACTGGGGGGTTCAGCCGAAGGGTCTCCTTAATGACACACCCAGTGTATTTCAGTTGTGCCAAAATGTCCACGTCCAGCTTGTTGTCCGGACCGCTCTTGCAGAGTAAGCCCTGTGGCAGCAGTCACACACAGGGGAAAAGTCACTCTGCGCTCCAATCAGATCCGCCCGCACACCTAAACCGCACTTCATAGGCCGCTAGCCCCAGAGGGCCTCCGCAGGCGGGCTGGGCAGGTGACAGCAGCCAGGGGCCATTTGCCTCCACTGCCGCAGCCCCAGGCCCCTATTTACAATCCCCAGAGAAGGCTGCGAGCCACTTAGTCGGGGCAAGAGTCTCCCCGCAAGCTCAGCTGCGGACGACTCCACCGTGGCCTGCAGAACCCTGCCCGAGGTGGGGGAGGGGCGGGGACACAAGGTCAAGCCTTGCTCCGGGGGAATCGCGGCCAGGAGAGCCTACTGCTACTCCAGGCAGAGTCTCTCCGCTCACCCCCCCACCCCGCACCCTGTGGCCCCGCACCGCCCAAGTGGGCCAGGGGCAGCTGAATTCCCCCTAAGCCGACAGGGGGCCCCCAGAGGTCCCCTACCTTACTCTTCAGCTCCTCTCGCACTTTCTGGAGAGCGTGGGGGTAGAGGCCCAGGTAAGTGATCAGAGACGTGGCCGCACTGGCCGTGGTTTCGTGGCCTCCAAAAAGGAGTTCGGTTGAAGACTGCTTTAGCGCCTAAGGAGGAATCCAGACCCGCAGCTTCAAGCGGCTGCACGCAGCGTTAGCGAGTGCGTGACTGCTCGGACCCCGACTGAGGACCCCCAGGCTGGAAGGGCTGACAGGAGCCCAGGGAAGGCACCACGTTCCAACAGAACGCCAGGTCCTTTCGGGAAGGCGAGGAAGGCCCCGCGCCAGCGGCGGCTCCCCCTGAGAAAGCCTTAGCTTTGTTCCCTTCGCCCAAAATTCGCCACGTTTTGGCCAAGTCTTTGACACCTGGCCAAGGCTGGGAGATGCTCCCAGCTGCGCCGCCCTCCTGGCCCGGCTGCCCCCTCGAATTTGCAGGCGCCACCGCTGGTAGCTGGGCAGGCGGTAGGCTCCGGGGGGTGGGGGGACCGGGAAACCGCGCTCCCTCGGAGAGCCCCGGGACCGAACTCCGCCGCACTCGTCCGACGCCGCCGCTCACCTGCATGTCCAGCCGCTCTCCCCGCTCCCACGAGTGCTCGATGAGCAGCTGCAGCGCATCTTTGCAGCCGCCGTCCGCCTCGGCGGCCCGCAGGCGGCAGATCTTGGCGCGAATGTTCTCCTCGATGCGCGCGTGAATGAGGTTCCGCGCCTTCACTCCCTGCGCTCAGAGAGCAGCGCGCGCGGCGGTGAGCAGACGTGCGGCTCCCGTGCCCCGCCACTCCGCCCCCCGGAAGGCCGCCCTTACCCGGTACAGCCCGCTGAAGGGCACGTCGATGGGCAGCGAGAAGAGATTGCGGGTCATCTCCTCGAAGGCCTCCACCAGCTGCTGCTCATCGTCCCCGTCGGCCGCCAACCGGGGCTCGCAGCCCAGCAGAATGCGCATAGCGATGCGGAACATGAGGCGCTTCACCTCGGGGTAGACCAGAAGGCCGCGCTCGCCGCAATTGAGCCACCGCCCCAGGCAGCTGCCCACTTCCTCGGCGATCACCGGCACGTAGCACTGGAGCGCCTCGCGACTGAAGGCCCGCATGATCACCTGCTCCCCGAGGAGGGCAGGGCGTTAAAGACCCTCTCCCTGCCCCCGCTCGCCTGCCGGGGTCGTCTTGCGGACACCCCTGGCCCCTCCAGCCCAAGCCAAGTCCCGGCTGGCAAGCTAAACTGGAACTGGATGAGGATCCTGAATGCCTCTAGCCTAAGGGGTCCCCTCCCAGAGCTGGCGTCGCCGCCGCGCCCTCACCTTCTTGCGCTGCTTGTGCGAGGAGTCGTGCAGGTTGGAGAGGCAGCCGGAGCCCAGGATGGTGCGCACGGACGCAGGCCAGTGCACAGACACCAGCCGGTGCTCCCCGAGCAAGATGCGCCGCACGTTGTCCGCGCCCATCACGCGCACCGTGGGCCGCCCGAACAGATGTGTCTTGTAGATGAAGCCGTATTTCCTGCGCTTCATCTGCAGGAACTTCCTCCGCTAGGCAAGGGAGGCACAGGGGAGAGGCGGGCGTGAGGGGGCGCCGGGGAGCGCCGCGCCTAGGGCTAGCTTTGCTCCAAGCCGCGGTCGCCTCCCTCTCGGGGGACGCCTGCCCTGGCTTCAGCGGAAGCCCAGAGTCGAGCGGGACTCCGGGGAAGCGTCCTGTCCCGCCCCGAGCTCCCTTACCTGCAGCACCATCTGCAGTGTTTCCCCAAAGAACGGGAAGCCCATAGTCCCAGGGGGCAAGGGGAGGGCACAGCTGCGGTCGCGGCTGCTCACGCAGTACAGGTCCCAGAGCTTGATCGCGGCCAGGAAGAGCAGCAGCGGTAGCACGAAGGTGCAGAGCGCGCTGGCCAGCAGCGCGGGGAGCCCCATGGCGCGCCGCGACCTCCCGCGCCACCTGCCGCCGCCGCCAGCGCTGCGAGCCCCGCCGCGCGCCGCTTTATAGGCAGCCCAGGTTGCTGCCCACGTTACCTTGGTCAGACAAATTAGTTCACCCAAAGTTCATCTTTAATTGCGGATTGGGCCCCTGGCTCCTCCCCCCGCGAGGCGCTGCCCAAAATCTTTAACCGTTTGTTCTGCGCAGAGGCAGAGGCGGCGCGGTGGTGGCTTCCCTGCCAGCGCGCCTCCTGGGGTGCGGGGCTAAGAAGCAGCCTCACTCGCGCCGAGGCCCGAGGAGGCTGCGGCGGTGGCGGCGAGGGGGCAGCGGGGCTCAGAGAAGCGAGAATTCCAAGCGCTGAGCCTCTTGGCGCTCTCTTCGGAATCTCTCCCGCCCGGTCCGACTGGCGGCCCCGGCCCGAAGCCTCAGTCACTGGCGTTCCACTTTCAGGCCGCGGCGCGGGTTCCTTTCCACCTGCCGGGGAAGCAAGGACCAGTGCGTTCAGGAATCGTCCCGCTGCCTAGTCCTACGAGTGGGGAAACTGAGGTCCAAACTGCGGAGCGACACGCGGGCCTCCCGACTCTTCCAAACAGATCCCGCCGAAGGGTCCAGGGCCAAGATCCAAGCGAGCGCGCGGGGAGGCAGGTATGACCGGCGGATCCTGGACCCCAGCTTCCCAACCCCCGCGAAGGGAGCGGCACTCATCAAGTCTTGGAAGGTCCTATTTAAGGGTCCGGAGAGCCCCCAGGTCGCCCGCGCGTGCAGGCCCGTGTAAGCCGGCCGCCCAGCTCCGGTGCGCAGCGGGGACTAGAGGGCCGACTGATCTGCGGCTGGGCAGTCAGCCCCCGAGCTATTTCTGCCACGCCGGCGGGATTCCGAGGCCCTGGGGCTGGCAGCCCCAGCCAGGCAGCGGGAAGCAGCGAGCCGCCTCAGCCCTGGCAGGATGAGGCGGGCAGAGGAAGGAAAGCCCAGGAGTCCTGCCCCAAGGCCCGGCTCCACTCCTGTGACCCGGAGAAGGCCCCACACGTCCTTGCGCCTGTTTCCTCCTCCTTGGCATGGAGGCGATCACTCCCAACCCATCCCAACCAAGGCCTGGAGACTCCGGTTGCAAATACTCTTCCCAGCTCCAGACAGGCTAGGCCGCCTTGTGCGGGTGGGCTGGACACGGGGTGTTGCAGCCTGCCTTCCTCTCCCCGTTCCCACCCCGTGGAAGCCACTGCCCTCACCCAGGGGGCGAGGTGCTGCCCCAGACTAAAGCTAGGTCTCTGTGGACCCCTTGAGAGGGTTGAGGGAGACGCACGGGGAAAGCGGGCCATCTGGACCTCGCCCAACGACAGGCAGCTGCGCCTGCAGCCCACACGTGTGCTCAGCACTGTGGGACGCGCACATGCACTCGCCGCTTCCCGTCTGGCCAAGCCACGCTGCTTCGGACCAGTCTGGGCCACGTGCTCTGCTGGTTCGGGCGCTGGGCGCACCTGTGACAAAAGTGACAGAGTGACATGCGTTTGTTTAGAAACTGAACACTGGCTTCTGGTCGAAGCGCGCCCGCACGCCTTGGGAGACGTCCCTTGGAGACAGAAAACGCTCTGAACCTGAGAGCTGTGAGATCCGTGGCCCTCCCGCTTCGTCCCAACTCCAGAAGAGGCGGGATAAGCCTGTGGAGGCGGCGAGGACCCGCCCGGTTCCAGCGCGCCCCCAAAGCCGGGGTCACCACCGGGCGGCTTTCAACGAGTCATTGTCCCTCCAGAAGCCTGCCTGGCCTGTCAGGGGCCCTGGGGAGCGGGGCTCTGCCACTCGCATTTCTTCCAGCGATCTGGGGCCGCCAATTTGTGGGCGCCGGCAGGAACTGGGGCGAATCACGCTGGAGGTAATTCTCAGAAATCCCGGCCCGCCCCTTTCTGGACAGTGCCTCCGGCCGGTGAGCAAAGCCCGCGAGCGGGGGCGTGACCTGGGGCCCAGTCCCAATCCTCCGGCCTGACCCGCCTGTGACCCCTGCAGGCCGGACCGTGACATCCGAGTGAACCCTGTGGGGCCACCTCGCCAAGTTCAGCGCGCGCGCCAGGTCACAAGAAGAGCAAGTCCTGCGTACTGCAAATTGCCATGGGGAAAAGAATATTTTAAAAATCTGCCCATTCAGACCGGTGTGGGGCAGGGGCATGTGGCAGGAGAGGATTAAATATGATGGCGAAAGATCATTAAAGACATCTTGAGGGGGGGGCGATAAATTACCAGCCAATAAGAACTTTGATCTAGGAAACTTGCCAAGCTTTCTTGGGTGGTGGGCGGGGAGGGGGTGGGTGGCTCCTGGGGAAACAAAATGTTTCCAGTGTGTTTACAAGACAGCCTCCCTTTGGGAAGGGGTGAGCCAGGAGGACCCAGAGGTAGACAGGAGGCAGAGCAAACAGGCCCTTGCCTCCCTCCCACTTTTTCCTAGAACCAAAGTCCACACCCCACCCCACAGGCCACTCCCCTCCCCCCAGCTTAATTTAGCCATAGGCACTGTCCCCAGGGCCTGTCGCCACTGGACTTAGTCTCACTCTTTTCTTTGCTAGTTTATTTCTTGTGTGCATCCTTTGTGAGTACAACTGGTCCGGGGAGGCAAGAACCATATCTACTGCTTCCTCCAGAGAACAGGAGCCCAGATAGATATTCCTTAGGATGACTGAGAGGAGCTATCAGTGGGAAACTCCAGCCAGCCCTAGCTAGGGGGGTTACCATTGTTTCATTCAGACCCCAGAGCCGTTTAACCAGGTCTCTGGCCACCAACTCACCCTGCCCACCTTCCAGAGGCCCCTCCTCCTACCCTGGAGCAAGCCAGTGTCTCCTCCCTGATTTCAGGAGCACCTGAAGGCAGGCCCCACGCAGCCACCTCTGCACCCCTGGGCACGGGGAGCTCAGAGTCTGTGACCCAGGTGGGGAGGGTTATGCGCAGTCAGCTCGACTCCGAGGACCCAGGACCCCTTGTGCTCCCGAGCTACCAGCTCTGCACCCTCTTGCCCTCAGGCCCCTGGATCCACCTTAAGCATAGGGTCAGGAGGGCATTGGCTTCCTTCTGGTTCACCAAAGGGTCAGCTCTGCGTGGGCCACCACTCCCCTCCCCCCGCCCTGCTGCCCAGGCCTGCCAGAAGATGGGTCGCAGGCTGCTAGGAATGCTGGCACAGAGGCTCTCAGGCAGACCGTAAGTCAAGGTAGGGATTATGATGACAAGGCAAAAGGGCAAAGCCCTGTTTGGTGGCACTTCCAGAGGCTGGGGTTAAGTGACATGGAGAGTAAGCGGGGAAGGGGTCCAGGGGCTTCATTGCTGGCTCCCAGGACAGGTCATTTGCTCGTCCCTCCTGGATCTCCTCTGTAAGGGGATGTGAAAGTGCCAAAGCCCACCCAGCCACCCCCACCAGTTCCCAGCGCCATGTGCAGGAGGGCAGTTCCAGGGCTTGGCCCTCTCTAGGTATACGCTGGTGTGGGTCCTGCCTGGGCCTTCCACCAGCCAACAGCTGCCCCGCTAAGCCCTAGGCTCCTGGCTCAACCAGCAAACTAGTTGTTGGCCTTCCTGTTTTGGGTACAAATACCTCAAACCACTCTGCTTATGTCTCAACCTCCCGGGAAAATAATCCGGGCTCGAGGCTTCTCATTGTGCCTATTCTCGCTGCGTACAAACGGGAAGATTAAATGCGTTCCTGGAGTAGGAATTTTTCTTTTCAGAAGTCGCCAGCAGAATCCGGGGGTGTTGAGCGGCTTAGAGTCCTGGAAGCCCGCACAGCTGGGAGTTTCCGCCCAGAGCCTCGGAGTGGCCAAGACGCACGAAGTCGGGGGCCAACTGCCTAAGGGCCTTCCGTTGGGTGCCCCCTTTACGTGTCCCTCTTGTGGTTATGGCCCAAAGCCAGGCCAGGGACTCGCCTCTGCACCCGGCTTTCTCTCAAGGGTTGCAGGTCCGCGGAGCGTGGGGAGGCCCCAGCATCGGTCAGCAAGGAACACACAGCCCTCCCTTACCCTGCGGCCCCGCGACCCACGCATCCTCCGGGGACTGGTGCAACGAGATCTTCGAGATCCTCGGAAGGGCTTAAGAGGCTTGGCCCACGACCATGCCTTCCTCGGGCGTGGAGCGCACAATACACATGCCCACTGGTCGGGACGATTCTCCCGCGCGGTGACAGTGGCTCATGTTCTTCCTCCGAGTCCAGCACAGAGCCACTCCGGTGAACGTGTGTTGAACCAGTGAAAGGGTGAACGGGCAATCGATGACGCACTGGAGAGCTGCACGTGGGCGGCGCTGAGAGAGCGCCACAGCCACTGAGCAAGCCAGGTCCCACAGCGCCAAGGCTCAGAGGTGTAGCTCATGGCCCGCGGCCGAAGGCGCGAGCGGGTGGAAAAAGAGCTGCAGCCCGTCCACTGGGTGCACGATGGGCACGGTCTGCATGGCGGGGAAGGCGGGCGTGGCCAGCTCCCAGCGCGCGGTGCGTACCAGCTCCACAGCCAGCAACTGGAGTACCGCCTGCGCCAGCTCCTGGCCGACGCAGCTGCGCGCACCGCCGCCGAACGGGATGTAATGGAAGCGACCGGGAGCCCCCCGCGCATCTTCACGCGCAGCGCCGAAGCGCTCCGGGTCGAAGCCCTCGGGCGGACTGCCATACACCGCGGCCGTCTCGTGCGTGTCCCGGATGCTATACATCACGCTCCAGCCCTTGGGAATCTGGTAGCCCTGCGAGGAGGTGAGGAAACCGGCCTGAGTACCAGGCACCTAGAAACCGGGCACGAACACACCCCCTACCCCGAGCGCACCAAAACAGACTTCCGAAAGCCGGCAGGAAGGCGCAACCAACCGGGAAGTCTGGAGCGCGCTCTGCGCCCCGATCTCAGCTCCCTCACTCTGGGGCTACGTGTTCAACCTCTGGACCCCAGTCCCGCAACCGATCAAGTGAGACCACTACCCGCTTTGATGTGACAATTCGAAAAAAGTGTGGCATTGACTCGTGCTCTGCAAATGGGACGGGGGGGGGGGTCTATTTAGGGCCCAGTGCCTTTGTCTTTTCTCTCGCCGTTTGATGAGATCTAAATGTTGGTCCTGCACCTAGCAGCTGCCTGAGTGTGGGCCAGGCGCACAGCAGATATTCGCATTCTTTTGGGTCAGGTCACTTATAAGGCTCTTCACACTGAACTCATCCACCAACTGCACAGGAAGTTCCGATCTGGTGGCCAGACTTCAAGCAGGTGCACAGGGGAATAACGCTGGGGAGTCCTTCACTTGCTGGAAGGCCACTGTCAGGCCCACCCCCCAGCCTGCCTACATCCTGCTTTGTGGTGTCTCCCGGACCCCGTCCATCGCCTTGGCCTCCAGGGGTTTCTGTATTCCGGAGCTCGTCTGGCGCTCCCAGGGTAGAGAGTGTGCAGTGACTCTTCAGGGGGACAGACCACCTGGCGGAGCTCCCTCCCCTCTAGACCTGCAAACTAGAGAACCGAGCCCCTTCCCTGTAATTCTGTAGCACATCCCAGCGCCTGCAGAAGCAAGTCTGAGGCCCAGGGTTTAGCACCCAGACACCTGTAAACCCCCACCTTCGCGCTGTTTCCTGTCTGGGGTGCGCTCTCACCCAAGTGTCACCCACCCAGCACTAGCGATCACGGTCTTCCGTGCACCACGATTTCGGGATGAAGGTGCGGGTCCCAGCCCCCTCGCCCCTCCTCGTCAAGCTCTTCGACCCAGTCCCCCTGACACGCTGTGGCGGGAGGAGCCCGCTCCGCCCGGAGGCGCCTTGGCACCCAGCTGGCTTCGGCGGGGCCCGCAGCCACAGCCTTTCGCGCAGATGCCCCCAGCTCGGCAGCAAGAGGGCGCCACTTCGCGCGCCGCCGCACCGCACCGCACCGTGGAGCGTCGGAGAGGGAAGGGACCAAGGCAGCTTCCTTCCCGAGAAAAAATGCGGCCCACTGTGGCGAGGAAGGGGCCCAAGGTCCTACGGGGATGCGGCCAGGTCTGGGCTTTAACTTTGCCCAACCCAAGCCAGCCGGACCAGACCACCGAGAAACTACCCTGTGTTTTCACCGTTGTGCTTTCCCGCAGCCGGCCGTGGCCAGGCTCGGGCAGGTAGCACGGGTCGGTTTCTCGATCCTGTGAGCGGTCCACAGAGTGGGGATCCAGGACACGGGAAGGGGTCCTTTGTTCGCCACCCAAATTCACTGCTTGCGACGGGGGTACCGCTTAAAGTTTTGATTCTAAAACTCGACGTGAGCTGCCCCTGGCCGCTGCGGAAAGGCACGGAGTCTGGAACAAGACGCAGCCCATTTTACAGGCCGCAAAGCTGAGGCCCTGTAGGGACAGGGGAGCTCTCGCCGCCCGCCTCCCCCGCCCCCCCGGGCGCCGCGCGAGGCCGGCGGCGGGGCAGGCGGGGCGCACTTACGTCGAGCTCAAAGGTGCGTAGAGCTGTGCGGTAGCCCCCAGACACCGGCGGCAGGAGGCGCAGCACCTCCTTGATCACGCAGTCCACGTAGCGCAGGCGGCCCAGCGCCGCGAGGTCGAGGTCGGGCGCGCAGCCGCAGTCGGGCGGGGGTCCCGCGTCGTCCCCCGCGGCCGCGGGCGGGCAATCGCACGCTTGCGCCAGCCCCTGCGCCAGGAGCTCCTGGCGGATTTTGGCGATGGCCGCCGGGTGCTGCAGGAGCAGCAGCACGAGGGACGTGCTGGCACTGGCCGTGGTGAAGAAGGCAGCGAAGAGGAGCTCCACAGCCGACTCCTGCAAGACACCGCGGCCGGCGCCGAGTCCGCGTCAGCAGAGTCGCCCCGAGCCCTGGCCTCCTGGCCCCACGCGGAGGCGCAAAGGACTCACTGCGGCGCAGGGTGCAGCGAGCGGGCGAGGTGCTCGCGTCGCGCCTCGGGGCGCTACTTGCTAACGTCTGACAGCTACAGGCAGAAGCATTCCCAAAGGCAGTGCCGGGACTCACGTGCGGCCCCGCAGCGCTTTAAGGTCTCCCCAACCTATGGGGCCCCTCGCTGCTCTCCTTTCACAGATCATAAACTGGGGGCCGGCACTATGGCGCAGAGCCACCAAGATCTACCACTGTAGCATCCCACGTGAACACCGCTCCCAGCTGCTCCACTTCCCATCCAGCTCCATGCCAATGCGCCTGGGATAGCATCGGAAGACGGAAGACGGTCCAAGTGCTGGGGCCCCTGCACCCACGTGGGAGACCCGGAAGAGGCTCCTGGCGGCGGCCTGGCCCAGCCCCAGCCCCTGTGGCCATCTGGGGAGTGAATCAGCAATTGGGAGATGTCTCCGGTGGGTCTCTCTGTAACTGCTCTGAGCGCGGCTCAAGGTCCCTACAGGGAGCCTGCCCTGCCAGCCGTGGCGCTGGTCGAGGAGCTTACTGGATGGTCCCAGTGAGTCCCCAACTCTTCCAGACCTCGTCTGTCCATAAAGGGCACCCTCCGGCTCCAGTCCTCCGGCCAGCCCCTGCCCTGCCTCGTGCCTTCCTCCGGAGCTGCGGCCAGTGGCACACAGACCGATTCTTGCCACCACAGGAGGAAGCACAGGGCTGTGATCTGCTCACCACTGCATCTCCGTGTGTGGAACGAGTGACCTGGTTGGACGTTCTCTGTCCCCCCGCCCTGGACAAGATGGGGAGTTGGGACGAAGACCCCAGCATCCTCCCCAGCCACACCGAGCCGGCCTGGCCTTCCTTGGATGCCCAGGACAGATGCGAAGCTCCCTGGCCCCTGGGTCCCTCCTGGGAACCTGGAGGGTGTTGTGTACCTGCCCACTTCTGCCCAGGCAGAGGGACCGCCTGCTTCTGCTCATGCACCATGCGCCTTCGCAGCCCACGGCTGTTCTCACCCACCAGGCTCCAGGGCTCAGCCCCATTCTCTTCCAGGCCCCTTGACCTCCCCTCTGCCGACTCCAAACCACCCCAGAAATCAGGCCATTCCCGGAGTGCAAACGGAGGCTGAGCCCCGCCCCTCCACACCGGGCCCAGGGAAAGGATACAGGTTGCGGGTGCCGACTGAGGTCTTCCCACCTGGAACCTCCCCTGCCTCTGCCTCTGCCTCAACCCCAGCCCCAACCTCTCCACTCCCTCTGGGCTTGCGGTAGATCCAGGGACCATTCCAAAGCTTCTCCCCCCCACCTCCCCTGTGTGTGCCCGAGGTGTGTGTGGGGGGTGTGTGTCCAGGTTCTCCAGAAGATCCTGTAATAGCCAAACAGGTGCAAGGGCCAGGTGCCACGGCAGCTCGCCGATGGAGCGGGACCTGGGAGGAAGGGGGAGCGGAAGTTTGATGCTGAGACCTTTGGAGTTTGTAGTGCCCAGGGCTTCACAGGCAGAAGGAATGGCAGAAAAGGGGGTATGGGGGTGAAGAGCCAGGATCTGTAAGGAGGTCTGGACTCCAAGCCTCCGGGGCTCCTACCGAGGATAGTGCCAGGCTACACAGCCAGCAGGTGGGACTGAGTCCTGACTCGAACCCAGGACCCCTCACCGGTGCAAGTGGCTCAAAGTGCAGCCCAGCAGGAAGTGGTTCCGGGCGAGAGCAGGGGTTTAGAAACCTGCTAGGGATGCAAGAGGTCAGGAGAGAGGCTGCCCAGCACCTACCTTCAGCTCCTGCACCGAGGGCTCGCGGCCCAGCTCCCTGGCACTGTGAATGATCACGTCCAGGGCGTCCCCGGGCTCCACAGCCTTGTTCCCCTGCAGTTTCTCAGCAATGGCCTCCTCCAGGTGACGGTGCAGCTGGTCCCGCGCCCGGATGCCCTGGGGCGCAGGGAGAGAAAGCGGGGTGTGGCAGGAGGGCTCCGGGAGCTGGGGACCAGGCCCTGGCCACCTACCTGGGGCTTTGCTGGCTCTGCCCAGATGCTGGTGTTAAGTCTCCTAGCTTTGCTCTGTGCCTGGCACACAGTAGGGCTCAAGAAATGGTCAGGAATTTGTGTACTGTCCACAAGCATCTGTGTCTGATCACAAGGCAGGCAGCGGCTGGCCTCCCAAGGGAGGGGGCTGAGCCGTCAGGGTGGAGTTAGCCCGAGTCAGGCAGGTGCAGTGGGCACCAGTGCAGAGAGCAAGGGGTGCCCTGTTGCACCTGGGAGCTAATGGACACTCCAGGCATTGTCTCCGTAAGCAGGTGGAGTTCGGGGTGCAAGCATGGCAAGGGGATCCCCCTGAGGGATCCTGCCCTGGAGTTCTGCAGCCACAGGAGCCAGGGTTCAAATCCCATCTCTGCCCCCTACTAGCTGTGTGAGCCCAAGTCCTGTAACCTCTTTGACCCTTGGTTGTGTCAATAAAATGAGGATAACACTTTGCAGGCTTTCAAGATTAAGTCAGAAAATGTATCCAAGGCAATCACAGCAGGTCTCCTGACACGTGTATATATTAGTTTTATATAAGTGACTAAAAACCGGAGAATCCACGCAGTGAGCAGCCCAGCTCAGGGGCACAAGGGGCGGCCTAGGGGAAGAGGTAGGAGGAGGGCGAGGGTCCCGCCCCTGGCTCTTAAGTCTCAGACCTGGAAACCAGAGAGCCCAGGGCTGCGGGCGGCGGGCGGCGGGCGGGGAGCGGGCACCTACCTACCCCTGTCGGACCCCGGGCAGCGCCGGGCTGGGCGGGGGCGTGCTTGGGCCCTCGCGCTCCCGCCGGCTCCGCAGCCAGCCCCGCTTCTGAAGAGGCGCTGGAGGGGCCCTACCGGCTGGCGGGACGCCCTGCCCCTGAGACCCAGACGCGGGGCGCCTGCGGCCGATGACGCCACAGAACGTCCGATCAGGCGCGTCCCAGAGAGGGTGTGTGACCTGTCCCGGGTGACCCAGCGAGTCAGAACAGAAGCCAACGTTGGCGCCCCACGCTGCCTCCCCCGCCCCCAGCAGAGGTGGCGCACGGGGTGCGTCGAGGGCCCGCGTCTGCATCTGGGAGACCCTCGAGTGCGGCGGCCCAGGAGAGGAAGGGCTGGGGCTGGGGCAACAGTACCTTGCGCAGGCCGCTGAAGGGCACATCCAGGGGCAGTGAGAAGAGGTTCCCCACGAGCTGTTCAAAGGTCCGGGCCAGCGCGGCGCACTGCATCTCATCCAGCCGAAGCCCCAGGAGGATGCGTGCGGCCATGCGGAAGGTGAGCGCCTTGGTGGCCTCGTAGACGGCTACCGGACCGCGGGCCGCGCACCAGGCGCGTACCTCGCGCCGCAGCGCCCCCTGCAGGCGCGGCACGTAGCGCTCCAGCGCCGCGCGGCTGAACACGCGCGCCAGGACCTGTGGGCAGCGCGCTCCGTCAGCGCCGGGGCTCCTCGGACGACTCCCGAGGAGCCAGAAAGCCAGTTTGGGCCCTGCCCCCTCTCCTGCGCGGCTCGGCTCTACACCTGCTGGCCTTTGCTGTCGCTATGCCTTCTAGTTCTGCTTTATTGTACACAGTCCTCCCCATCCAGCTGCCACCTCCTCTACGAAGTCTTAATGACGCCTCTCTAGGTTAGAACCTCCAGAACCTCTGTGTCACACAGATGATGGTACGTAAAGGGGCGCTTTAGGGGTCGGCGCTGTGGCCTAATGGGCGAAGCCCCCGCCTGCGAGGCCAGCGTCCCATGTGCATGCATCCCATATGGGCTCCGGTTCGAATCCTGACTGCTCCACTTCCGATCCAGCTCCTGGCTAACGAGCCTGGGGAAGCAGCGGAAGATGGTCCAAGTGCTTGGATCCCTGCACCCTGGTGGGAGACCCGGAGGAAGCTCTTGCGGCCTTTTGGGGAGTGAACCAGAGGATGGAAGACCCCTCTCTGCCTTTGCCTCTCTGTAACTCTGCCTTTCAAATAACTCTGCCATTCAAATAGAGATCTTTTTTTTAAAAAAAATCTTTTTAGCCCGATCCTGACCTCAAAAGCCTACCGACGAGGTTAAGGCGGCTGGCCCGCAGCTATCGGCTAGCTAATTAGCGAGGGATCCTGCTCGGGCTCACAGCGCCCCCACACACACCTGGCCCAGCCCTGGCTCACAGCAGATGCGTAGGGACCGGGGTTCCAATGGTGGAATGACCCATTCTCGGTTTCCGCTCACCTTGCGCCGCCGCCGATGCGGCTCACCGACCGCGCCGAGGAGCGTGTGCGAGCCCAGCAGGATGTGCGCGCTCTGCGGCCACTGGCTGCGCACCAGGCGGTGCTCGCCCAGCAGGATGGTGCGCACGTTCTCCGCGCCGCTCACGCGGATCACCGGCCTGCCCAGCAGGTGCGTCTTGAACACTGTCCCGTAGCGCTCCCGGCGGGAGCTGTGGAAGCGCGAACCCTGTGAGGAACGAGGTGCAACGTGCAGCGATAGAGCCGATAGAGCCGGGGATGGGACCCAGGCCTCCCAAATGCCTCTTGGTAACTCCCTCCTGCAGGCCGTCGCCTTGCAAAAGTGGGTCCCCGGTGGGCCTCATAACTACCCTGTGGGGATGTCAGCGCGCCCACTCCCATTGGTGAGAACCTCCAGCTCAGAGTGGGGACGTGGGCGCAGGGCTTGTGCTGACGCGCGCCCCTGGTTTCTCAGCCTATGCCTGCAGGACACAAGGTGTCACGCTCCTCAGACCCCTTCCTTAAAGCCTCTCTGTTTATCCCCGCGATGTGTCCGGACGAATTTAAGTAGCTCTGGGGACAGCGTCGGCACCGGGAGGTCCCGTCTGGCGAGCAGAGGATGGCTAGAGAATAACTTCGTGCCCAGTCCCAGACCTGGGCGCTGGGAAGGCACTGGCCACCAACTGCGGGAGCACCGAGGGCCAGGAGGGTCCGGTGGGAGCCTGGAAGGGGGAGAGGGGGGAGGAGGGGCGACGGGAGGCTCACCTGAACTAACCAGTGCAGCGTTTCGCCGAAGAAGGGCCAGCCCATGGAGCCCTTGGGCAGGGGCAGGGCGGAGGCCCGGTCCCGGCTCAGCGTCCAGCGGAGGGTCCAGAGGTGCTGGGCCAGACTGAGCAGGAGGCCGGCGCACAGGAGAGCGGTGCCCGCGGCCCCCAGAACTGACAGGCAGCTCAACCCCCACGGGAACATGACGAGCTGTGCGGGCCAGGCCGAGGGCAGGTTACGCAAGAATTGGGGCTCCAGCAGCGCGCAGTGCTCACCTGTCCCGTGCGGAAGAGGCCTGGGGGTTGGGGCCAAGCCCGAGGTCTAGAACCCCGGACTAGAACTCTGATCTACAAAGAGTGGCAGTGGAAGGGAGGCTGCAGTGACCCTGTGCCCTTAGGGAGCGTGCCTTCCTCGAGGCCGGCGCGCTCGGGGCGCTGCCCCAGTTCCCGGGTCCCAAAGTCAGTTCCTTTCGGGGGTGCCGGCTTCCCTGGGGAATGCTCACGCTCGGCACCCCCGGGGCACCTCCCACCTCCTCCCGGGAGCAGCACTCCCTGGCCAGAAGCAGAGAGGCAGGGCAGGGAGCGCAGCAACTCACCGGTGTTGCCTACGGGGGCGCGATCACCGGGCTGCAGACCCTAGCCCCACCTCTCTCCCTCCCGCAGTCGCTTAACCCCGGTCGGCCCACCTTGGACACGTTTATATAGACGGCGGCTCCCTCCCCACCGGCCCGTGCGGGTTCCCACAACGTGACGCGTCTCTGCATATTTATAGCGCTCCACGCGGAGTAGCGATTGGAGGCGGTGGGCAGCGGCGCGCTCACCGAGGGGCAGTAGGGAGTGGCAGGCGCCGCAGCGCTCGGGGCTGGGCTGGCGGCCGCGCCCCGCGCACGTCCTCGGGCGGGGCCTGCGGTTTCGCGCCAGAACTTGCCGGCGCTTCGCGGGAGCTCGGGGCCACGGGCGAGCCCGGCGGCCTGAGCAAACCCGGGCTAGCGCCTGGGCCCTGGTGGCCGGCTCCCTGTGGGCTCCTCACGCTCGAGCTTCTAGGTGCTCTCCCCATCGCCACTCCGGCGTTCAAGGACTGGGCTTTCTCCCTTTTCGCTCTCTTTGAAGGGCATTGCATTGGCAGCGAAAAGAGCCTGCAAGGGATGGCGGCTGGGGCCACGATTCTCCGACCCCTACCGTCCTCCGGGTTCGCAGGCTGAAACGCTTCAGGAATCCTTCAAAGGACGGCGGTTTTCCCTGCGAACCCAGGAGTCACAGAGACGCCCCAAGCCCGCGAGAAGGCGCTCTCCGCGTGCTCTTTTCCGGCGTCAGGGGCTGAATTCGCCGTTGGTTCCCACCCTTCTCCAGGCTGCCCGACAACCCTCGGACGGTTGCCTGTGGGGTGGGTGTAGGGTCCCATCTTGAGGGCTCCAAATGCCTCAGGACCCGCGCGCCCAGCTCCCCGCTGTGCAGCCACCGTGGGCTACCCTAGGCATCTCCCCGCATCCCGGGAGGCCTCTGCCACGGTGGGGGATACGGGCCAGCCTCGGAGAGCTCCCCTAACTTCCAGCTTTTAGTGTGCCAGAAGAATTAACTGCGCTTTTCACATAACAGATTTTAAATGTACGAAATGCTTTAGGAAAAGCGTTGGTCAAGAGAACAAACGCTTATTTTTTGTTTTGGCGCCACTCCCATTCCAATATCTGAGGAATAATGTCTTTTCTGAAGAAAGCAGTTTTCAACCAGGAAGCTCTGAGGAGATGCAATAGCAACGCATTTTCAACAAGTTGTCCAATCTTTTTAATGCTGCATCCATCACAAAACCAAGAGATGTACATTAATTCTTTGTGCTTATTTTACAGAGCCAGGTATCTTTCTTACAGGTATAAACCCTGAAAATGTAAAGGGAGTGTTCATCGTAAATACAACGTAGGGAAAATAAAGGTGAGGTTTGTACTGCCACGTGGACTCCAGTACCTTACACAAAGGGCAGTGAACAAGTGCAGGTACTCCGGAGTCCATCTGACCCATCCGGCGGGTGTGCACAGCCAGGATCTGATGGAGAGCCGCTGTTTGGGGACAGTAACCGAGCCCGGTGGACTAGTGCGTGCAGGAACCCATTCCCCCAGCGCCCGCCGCACCGCAAGGGGTCCCAGTCAGCTCCCCTCCACTTTTAACTTGAACCAAACCAAACCAGAGTGGGGTCAGGTACAAGCAATACAGTTACAAATTTTAACCCTGAGGAACAGAAACAGCACATTTTAGAAACTCGAAACCTTTTCTTCCTATTTAGAACTGCAGTAGTTACCCAAGCAGAACAAACAATGCACATTCTTACTGAATTGACTTTGATTGCAGGGAATTTTAATATTTGTCGTCTTCTCCCTCAGAATCAGCAGAATTAGAACTTGTTAATATACGTTAAGTCACACTGAGATGAGAACAGAAGGTGAAAGTGAGAAAATGACAGTGAAGTAAGTACTCCCGTTATCAGACACGACTGCATTTCAAACCTCATGAGCTGATGAAAAAAACCAACTTATCAAGTCTAAATTGAAAAAATACATACAAGTGGAGGCATAAGGTTTTTTTAATAATGCTTTTGGAATCAATTTTACATACAATCTTTGACGTGATTTATATATTACAATTTTACCATTTTCCTTCTAAAAGTGAAAAAAGTTACATTTTCCATATATAAAATAGTAATCAATTATTTTAAAAACATACAAATGATTTACTCCTGTTCCCTCCTAAAGCTCTCATCAGCATATTTTCTCGGTCGTGTTTCTTCATTCTGTGAACGGCCAGCCACGTGAAGTCTATGTGTGCTGGGACATGCCATTCACCAGACTTCTCAGCTGCTTCACCACTGTCTCTATCAACTTCTGTTTGTCTCGATCATTCTTCCGGAACTGAGTAAATATATTGTTCTTTTTGCTGGTATCCTTCATCCTAGAAACATATGTGAATGAAGATTAGAAAAAGGAAATTAAAAGCCACGCTGCCACAAGTGAAAATATCCTGGCAAGCTCTGAATTACCTTACACTAATCCTATGCTAGAAAAATATACTTCAAAGAAAATGCGTATTAACGAACTTATGATACAGCAACCAGGTGAAAAAATTAGCAGCTTTATTTTATATTCTAGACAAAGTAATCTCTTTGCATTAGTATGTAAATCTGAAAGATGTACAGTTTTTTAACACATCCTATAGTCCAATATCATTCTATAAAGTATGTTAAAATGCATATCCTCTGAACTCTGTAAATCACATTTATAACAAGAGGAGATGAAAAGAAAAACAGCACAAGAAAATTTAAAACATTTTTTCTTTGCCTGAGTGATATTTCATGGCAGTGCAAGTTAAATTTACATTTTAACAGTTTTTTTGTCCTTTTAAATCAACTATAACACATATATTTTGAAATGGGGGAAAATAAGAAAAGTTTAATTAAAAAATTTAAAATCATAATGATACGCTGGGTAAAAGGAAAGTCTGCTAAGTAATGAGAGGGAAAGGTAACATCTAAACTTGTATTTAGTTGGACAAGATGCACCAGTAAATTCTGTTAATTCAGTTTTACTCTATTACTTTTTCAAATCCCATATTTCTGTAACTACAAAGAATACGAGTCCATCATGGTAAGATTTAGACAGCACTGGTGCCAAACATTACAATTCCTAGCCATATTTTTTTTAAAGCTCCAATTCTCATCTTTATTTTCAGTAAAAATATTTATATTGTCAGTCAAGCCTGTAATTCACAATACAATAGGAAAAATGTTTTTTCCACATAAGTGTAAATAGCAATTGGATATGGAACTATACCAACTCTGCAGAGCAAAAAAGAAAGAGGCTTATCTTCAGGTCATTAAAATGGACTGAGCTTTCAAACTTCATCTAAACAATCCTCCCTTGGAGGAAATCTCTAGTTCTTCATTTTATTACAGAATCAAAACATGCTACAATGCTATCTCTGGAGGTTTTTAGAATATACTCACTTCTCCAAAAGAGTAAGGGCCGTGTTTGGATTCACTCGAAGGTACTTAGAAGTTGGCTGTCCATAATCAGCCAGATAAGTAGACCAATCCCAAACCATAAACAGGTCAAGGAGCTGAGGAAGATTGGGGAAAACAGTAAGTCAGCTTTTGATTTTACACAAATCATATGCTCTTCAATGTGAACTGCTTCTCAGATGGTACAGAATAAGAAATTCTTTTTTTTTTTTTTTTTTTTTTTGACAGGCAGAGTGGACAGTGAGAGAGAGAGACAGAGAGAAAGGTCTTCCTTTGCCGTTGGTTCACCCTCCAATGGCCGCTGCGGTCAGCGCGCTGCGGCCGGCGCACCGCGCTGATCCGATGGCAGGAGCCAGGAGCCAGGTGCTTTTCCTGGTCTCCCGTGGGGTGCAGGGCCCAAGCACCTGGGCCATCCTCCACTGCACTCCCTGGCCACAGCAGAGGGCTGGCTGGAAGAGGGGCAACCGGGACAGAATCCGGCGCCCCAAGAAATTCATTTTCAAAACTTTACTTCATAACTAAAATAGTATACACTTATTTTACTTTGAAATTGCTAAAATTATCAGGAGTTGCTTTTCTAATAAGATGTCTGGTTGGATTTTTAAGAAATAGGAAAATAATGAAAACTCTGTTTCATTATACTAATTATACTTGTATTACCATTTGTATTGATGCATAGTTTAATCTTTACACATGATTCACTTAATAACCAAATTTAATTAATGAAGGTTGGTGTTACTAACTGTGTGAAGAAGTTTAAAGAATTTATATTGAACCTTTTTTCTTAGAGGTAAGTGTGTTTACCTTGCAAAGAAGCTGTTTGCACCTAGACTTTTTCCAAAGTAATTTAAACCAAAAGCTCAGATAATCTCAATTAAGTGCATTAAACAACCTCTGTTGGATTCTCCCTGGTGATTGATCCTTAGTATTATTCTGAAATGAGGGCTTCAGGATTCAGTCTGTTAACCCTAGGTAATTATTTTACATAAACAAACAACAACAAACCTGTTTGCTGTGGTGTCTTAAAATTGACTATTTGCTTTATAATCTCCAGTTAGAATCATTGTCAAATATGGAAGTAATCTTTTAAAAGCAACGCCATGCCTAAACCAAAGCACCAAACTCCTTATCCAACTTTAAGACCCTAATCCCTTTTAAGCCATTTAAAACCAACTTCCTATCCCCATTTGAATTGTTTCAGAAGCTAAATGCTTTACTTACTGCCTGCTCACCTTCTTTAGTTTTTATATTATTCTTTCCTTTTGGTTTAACTCACTTGGTACGTGAGGGGTCCTTTAGTTTTGCTTTCAAATGAAGGAAGCATTTGCATTTACTCAGGAGACAGGAGCCTACTCACTGACTCTGGAGGGCTAAACATGGAGTGATTAAAACCACCCAGAGAAAGAGTCCCAGAAAGTAACTTCTCCTTAGTAGGTAAGGGACTTGTGTGATCTTCTTTCCAACCCAATTTACAACTGCTAACAGATTTTCCTGGAAAGATGGCATCTTCTATAACGAAAATACTAACTATTAAAGTAAAGCTACTCCCTTTAAGTTGGGCAAGATAACACTCTGGGCCTCACCAAGAGTTAAAAGCACTGGTTCAGAAATTAGAATGAGGCAAAAATAAAGAATACACTGTCTGAAAAAGAAAAGGGGACTTATTGAAAGTTCTGTGGTTTCTGACCCTTGTTTGGCAACAAGTACATTTTTCTCTCACGAAGAGGGAAAGTGACTTTCATATACTCAGAAGGTGAGAATGTAAGTTGGTATGACTCCTCTGCAATGTAATTGTGCAATGTGTTTAAGAACCTTATCAAAACGGCATTCTCTTTGACTCAGTAATCTCTCCTCTATGAATATAACTTCATGAAACAGTAATGAAGGTAGACAGGAAGTTTTGCACAAAGATATTAATTTCAAAAATGTTATCAGAAAACCAAAAACAGTCTACATCTCAATGTAAAGGGAATGGTTTGCAATGAAGCATTATCTGCACAATGAATATCAAGTGGTTATTAAAAGTGTTTACACGGAAGTTTAAATAATTTGGGAAGATTTTTATGATAAATGTGGCTATTCACATAAAAATCTATCAAAAAAGACTAGAAGAAAACATTAAGTCTGGTTATTTTTTGTGTGGTGGGATTCTGGATAGCTGCTATTTTCTTAATTTCCATAATTCTCTACAATGGACATGTGCAAGCATTACGGTTAGGAATAATGTTTACCTCCTTATATAGTTGAACACATTTCAACAAGGAATGCCCCTCACACAATTGGAAGGATTCCTCTTCCAGGTGTAGGTCTTTGCTTGCACAAGTCTGCCTGCGCATGCAGTCAGCCAGCAGAAAGCAACCTCTTAGCGTACTGACTGTAATCTCCCTTGCTTTCCAAAAGGTATTAGCAACGTGACCTTTGGGATATGGAAGAGGAAGGAATCTTAAATAAAATCAGCCTTTTTCTCCTGAGCTGATCTACCCCCAGGTGGGAAAGGAGGAGCTGAAAAACCCACAACAACTCCAACTGTGAATACAGAACTGAATTGGTTGTTCCACAGCTCAAAAACAGATTTTCCTCCATTACAAAACACTATGCTTACAACTTTCACATGTGGTCAGATACTCAT